TATTGCTAGTTTAATAATAATATAGTAATAATAAAAGTTTATCATTATAAATAATTCTAATAAATAATAATAAAAATTATAGCATAATAATAATAATAATAATAATTATTATTATTATTATTTTTAATGTAGTTTGACTATTATTATTATTATCATTACTATCATTATTATTATTAATATTATTATTAAATTATTGTTATTATTCATAATAACAACAATAATCCACCAAATTATCATATTAATACAACAATATTATTTAATCTCAATATATTCCTAATTACAAAATTATTATTAAAAAAACACAACAATGATTTACACTTCCACTGAATCAACAGCTTCATTTAGTCAGCATACTTATTTTACCAACAAAATATTATTAATATCAATAAACTGTTTTAAATTGTGAATAAATAACACATTTGAAAAATCAGAAACGTATTACATGTTATGGGAGAAATCAGTACTATTGATTGTTTCTCTTGATATTGTAGTGATGATTATTAAAGGTAAAAAACTACTAAACGGCACTAAACTGATTGGCTACATTGATTTTCAGCACAACAAAAAGTGATGGAAATGCAATGCAATGCAATTTTCATTTAATTACACTTAGGTGTTACCTATTTATGAACAGGGTTAGGGTCCTGCGTTTGGTCTGTGTATGTTTTTTTTTAAGCGTTAAAGCTTCATCAACACTGCAGAACAGATCTGGCTCAGTTAATTTAGTTTTGATGGACTGTGATGTGTTTTTCAGGTGGAGGAAGCTGTGAGTGAAGTAGACGTTCAGCTCAAACTAGATCTGCACTTCACTGACAATGAACAGCAGTGAGTATCTCAAATCGCCTCAGTTTTTTTTTCTCCTTCTGCATCTTTACTGCCTGCTACAGTATGGCACATCATGCTACTTTTGCAATATCTGTTAAAAAGAGGATTGTGAATTCAGCAGGCCTTGTTTTTCTGCCAGACGTTACATTACGTTGTTAAATTAGATATGAATGTAAGTGAATGTAGTTGTGGCAGTGTAATAGTGTGTGTAATTGTGTGTTTTAGGCTGGCTGACATCTCTTCAGTGCCTGTGATCAGCAGCAGGACTCTGGGTTTGCATTTCCATCCCCAGCAGGGCCTGCATCACCACCTGCCCGTCATGTTTGACTACTTCCACCTGTCCGTCATCTCCGTCTCTATCCACGCCTCCCTAGTGGCTCTGCACCAACCGCTGATCAGGTGATGCCTCAGCCACGCCCACCAGCTCTCAGCCAATCACCAGTACCTGAGCAAAAGTTACAGCATTTTAACATTTTATTATTATTATTATTATTATTATTATTATTATTATTATTATTATTATTATTATTATTATTATTTATATATATTTTTAATATACAGCATAATAAATTATAAAGTTAGATTTTTTTTTTGTCTTCGACCAGATGCAGATTTTTAATGTTAAAGCCTTCGCTTAAAAGACAAATGTCAGGTCTTCAGAGATGGTAATAATAATAATAATAATAATAATAATAATAATAATAATAATAATAATAACAGCAACAACAACAACAACAATAACAATAATAATAATGATAATAATAATAATAATAATAATAATAATTATTATTATTATTATTATTATTATTATTATTATTAATAATAATAATGCATTCAAACACAATGAAAACATTTATTTTATTTTAATTTACATTAATTTAATTCATTTTAATTTAATGCATCAATATGTGTTTAAGGTGGTATTATTATTCACTATAAATGTTATTAAATTTTATTATAATTTAAATGTAACTGTGAGACATTAATTATTGGGTTTATATAAGGGCAAATATTAATTGTAAACTTAATTTAAAATATTTTAAATACTTACAGCATTATTTGTATGCTTAGTTTTAAATGATATTTATTTAAAAATAAAATAAAATAATAAATAAATTAGGAGGATAACATAAAATAAAACAAGATGAGAAATTTGGGTATTGACCTTTATTTTTATTTTGGAAGTACGCTCATTTTTGCGATTGTTTTAGAACTTCAGATTCAGTGACTATGGGTCAAAAACCTAAAACGGTCAAACTTTTTGATCTAAAAACAAGTGTGTTCATGACTACCCCATAAAAAGAGTCAGTTTGCAACATCAAGCAGCAGGGGAACGGAATGACACCAGAAGTCTTGAGACAAAAAGATTCAAACGGCTGCGCCCACTCATATGCGAATAGTAAGGTGAATATGGTAACTTTAGATTATTTTATTTGAAATAGAATTTAACACACCATTAGTGTTAATTGTAAAATATTAATGTTATTAATTTATATTCAGATTTAAAATAACTGCAAGACTTTCATTGTTAGGTGAATAGAAGGGCATTATACTGTAGGTATGGTATTTACTTTAATTGGAAAATAAAATAAAATAAAAACTAAATAAAATAAAATAAAATAAAATAAAATATGCATTCAGAGTAAATGTTAAGTTATTTTATTTATTTTAACTGAAATTTAACACACCATTAGGTGTTTATGGCTATATTATTTATAAATTATTAATGTTATTAAACTACATTGAAATTTAAATTCAACTGCAAAACATTATTTATTGGGTGTACAAAAGAGCAAATATTAATTTTGAACTATTTAAACTATTTTAAATACTTTCAGCATTATAGGTATGATATTTATTTTAATTGGAAAATAAAACAAAATAAAACCTAAATAAAAATTAACTTGAAATAAAAAATGTCAGCATTCTGGGTATATGGTAAGTTTAGATTATTTTATTTTAATTGGAATTTAACACAACACTAGATGTTTATGTCCATATTATTTACAAAATATTAACTGCGAGACATTCATTGTTAGGTGTAGAGAAGGGTAAATATTAGTTTTGAAGTTTATTTAAATTATTTTAAATACTTTCAGCATTATAGGCATGGTTGGTTTGAAATAACATCATTTTTATTATAAAGTTAAATAAAATAAATATTCATACATTTATTATTATTTTATAATAAATAATATCATCATTCTGGGTATATGATGAGTTAGGAGTATTTTATTTAAACTGGAATTTAACAAACAATCAGGTATTTATGGCTGACCTGCCTTATAAAATATTAATGTTATTAAATTATTTCAATTTTATAATATTGGAATTTAAATTCAACTCTAAGGCATTCCTTATTAGGTGTATAGGGCGAATATTAATTTTACATTTTATTTTAACTATTTTAAATACTTTCAGCTTTACAGCTATGATTCGTTTTAAATTATAATTATTGTTATTTACATACTTAGCTCACCATTAGATCTATCAGGCAAATCATTTAATTTAATTTCAGTTTAATTAAGAATCTTAATCACTGAGTGTACAAGGCAAGTGTTATTTATTTACAGTTTAATCAAATTAAATTAGAATGGAATTTAATTTAGGTCTTCCATTAGGGCTATAAGACAGGTCTTTAAATTTAATTTAATTTAATTTAATTTAATTTAGTTTAATTTAATTTAATTTAATTTAATTTAATTTAATTTAATTTAATTTAATTTAATTTAATTTAATTTAATTTAATTTGATTTAATTTTAATTTAATTTACATACCTTCATCATTAAGAGTATAAGGCAAGTACATAGTTGATTGTATTATACAGCAACAATCTGCTTGCTGCATAGCACACAGGAACAGTCCAACTCTTCTAATTTAACTGTGAATAGTTTGTTGGATCTGCATCTGGTGTTTTGTAGGCGGTGTTTCTGGCAGGATGTGATGTATGTTCAATGCTGTGGATCTGTGCTTGATCTTTCTCTGAACTCTTCTTAAAGTGTGTATTTGTCAGCGGTGTTGTGTAATGCATTTCAGAGAATGCAAATAATAGACATTCAGAAAGAAACCAGATATTTGGGGATGTATAG